TAAAAAGATAACTACTCAGGATGACACTAACTGTGAAATTCCTCATCTCAGAAACCAAAAATTAATCAAGGCAAAAACACACGCCCAAAACAAATCATTATACTTATCAAGTATTATTAGCGATAAACGCATCTCCAAAGTAAGCTCATTTCATAGGTTTTCCCTTTTAATTTTTCAGGATCGTTTAGTCACATATTTATCTTTATATTATTATGAATCTATCATTATGGATCAATTTTTCCAAAAACATGGCTATTTATGACAGTCTTTCGCGGTGATAGTTCATTTGTGCGTAAAAAACGTAATATTTTTATGTTATACATAAGTGATTCTAGAGAGCACAGCACTTGGTACGAGTAACTAGCTATTTTTCCAAAATGATCATGTTAGGAAACCGAAAAAGAACGCAGTACACGCAAAAAAGCATGGATCTAAAAATTGCAAAATGCATATCAAAATAAGCTAAAAGAGCAATTAACTATGATTAAATTGGCCTAGTGACTAAAGCAGTACCAGACCAATCACGACCGACCTACGCCACTTGAGTCTTACAGCCAATAACATCACGACAAAACTGACCAATCAGACCATTGGACTGACAACAACTTCTCATTTGACTCCGATGATGATTTCCGTTCAGGTTGTCGAAAGGGCAGTCATCATCAAAGACAACAGTCCTTTGCAGAACTACACTCACCCGAACGATCAGACTACACTATCACATGTATTTGTATTTATTTTTCACTATTTTCTCACTTTTGTTTATAATTCACTTGCACCTTTTATTTCAATTCTCATGGTATATATTCGTGATTTAATTTCGATGGAATCATTAAAACATCAGTTCTGAGAAAGTTCTATAAATTTGAGTCACTGGAACATTATCTGCTGTTTTAGAAGTTTCAGTTGAGATTCTACGTGACATTTTTGGCGAATGAATGTTCAAACTGGTTAAAGAGCAGGTCAAACTGTATCTCATATGAAGTGTTACACGGCCTCTCAATCGTGTCACTAATACGGAAGGACTAAGTGCCTTCGAAGTCCACATCGAAAACTCGAAAATATCTTCACCTGCTATAGCCTGCAGTGCAGGCGTCTTGTTAGTGCGAGCTAACGTTAACACTAAAAGGTCGCGATCGTTTGTTCGCCCGGCCATTTTTGATTTTCAGTTAGAGTGGACGGTGGGGGTAGGGGGCGGGGGAGGGGGAGGGGAGAAAAGACGCCTGCCCGAAGAGGCTGTTAAAATGCCATATGCCCCCTGATTAGTTGCGCTTCACTTCCTTTCCTGAAATAAGAAGGTAACCAATAAAAATGAGTTTATTTTAAAGTCTTTGACGATGACTTTCGGCAAAAAACAAACACACGTGGAGCCGAGCCGTCATATCCAGCTACATATAGTGCGTGATGTCCGATAAGAGTGCGAGTGACAACTGTAGGCTTTGAGAGTTTCCTTCAAAATTCAGTTCGGAAATCTCCCCAAGCAAAGCCGCTCTTCATCAGAAAATATTTTCAAACCTTCGAAACGGAAGTGCTTTGGAGTTGTTTTGAGCGAAATTGTTCTTCAAGTTGGATTTTCCTTAGTGCAAGATAGCTCGAGATTTTCAGATCGTGTTTGCCACCAATGTGGCCGTAAGATTCGGAATTTAGGCCAATTGTACCACTTTGTCAAGAACGCAACTACAACGACGTCTACTCCAGTGAAAACTAGCAAAAGAAACCTTGACACGCCAGATAAAGCTAGTCCACCGTGGAGGAAATCAAAATCTGTACATGTTCGTTCTCCGATTGGCAGGACTCCGTTGAGGGAAGTTCCTCCTCTCGTGCGATCGAAAAAGTCTCTCGCCTTTGAAAAAGCAGTGAATACCTCGTCTGCCTTGTGGATACAGGAAAGCGAGATGCTTAGTCAGATGAATGTGGAAGGTCTTCCAAACGATGGTGTAAAAATCGTGTTCATGAATCCGTCTAGAAACGTGACTGTAAGAATTCCCAGAGATTCCCAAACAAAAACATTGGTGAAGAACGTTGCTACCAAACAATGGAGAGAAGTGATTAATGCGCTTTTCATGCAAGAATAAATTAAGCCAGAACTATATAAGGAAATCTCCAAGCTAGTGTCGCTCGAGTTTGGCGAATACTTGAAATCTGGATGCATATTGGAGGCGCGTAATCCGGACGAGCTCGCTAGTTTCTCGAACAAAATTTCATGAAAGAGGTGAGAATTTTCTGTCCCCTCTGGTTTGACTGCGTTCGAGGTGCAAGTGGTTTATCGCAGAATGCTTTCAAAGAGTGCGTCCCAGAGATAAACTCCCTTGCTTTAACGACAGCAACGCTAGCACGCTTAAGAAACGCCAAAGCCTCTGCAGTGCACTACCGAATTTCAACCATCACAGTGGTGTTAAACATGACGACTTGACACGTTTAAATCATTTGGGGGTATGTATGTCTCCAGATTGACAGCTGCAGCTTAATCGAACCAATCAGGAACTCCGTTCGTGGGCTAACGGAGTGTGGCAAAATAACTATGACTTCGGGCAGGCGTAATCTTCACTCCCCTACCCCCACCCCTCTCCTTATTTTTGACCGTCGACCGCCCCCTTGGTATAAATTTTCCTCCCCCCAGCCTTTCGCTGCCATCAAAATCAAAGATGGCGGCCGTAATATTTGTTATGAAATTACTTAGCACTCGCTAGCCTAAATTACGCATGCTCTGCAGGCTACACCCACTACTATAAAATTAGACGTTATGTTAAATTGTATACTAACCCTGTGTCTATAGATTTGATAGTTTTCTTGACATCCTCCAAAATTACAGCAAGGCTAGTGTTGACGGCATTCATCTGTACATAAAGAAAAAACAGGAAAAAATGAAGTGACAGATATTTTAAAAAAGCACTGCTGTCATAAGCTTTCCTAGTCCAAAATATGTTAATTTAAATGCAAACGAACTCACTGAAATAACAAAAGCAATTTCTATCGATCACTACAAACAGCACTATTTTGCACCGACTAAACCTTTCCTTAGCTTAGCTGCTCTGTTTTAATCAATCTTTTTTCGCGACAAAGCACCATATTTTTATCCACGAGATAGCTCCAGTCTTATAACTTAGCCTTAGATTAAAAGTCAAACAAGTGGAAATAAACAATAACAAACAAAATAAACAAACAACCAGACAAGAAACAAAATCTCACTCTGTAAATTCCTCTCGCTGAATGTGAATATATAATATCTTAAATACTCGGTTAATGATAGGACAAGGCCACTTCTGTGCAAATCACTCGGTCGTAATGACAACGAAATTGTGCCTATTTTAGTAAGCAAACAGCCATGCATCTCAAACTGGGTTAACACAAATTAACATATAGTTAAGCATCACCTCTTCTTCAGTTACGTAAACCTTTTCGGACAAGGTTCTAGCGAGGGTAGTATATATTTCAACAGGAGCAAACTTTCCACTGGAAGCAATTTTATTGAATATACGACAAGGAACTACAAGAAGGAAAGTCCTTCGGAACAGAGGATCCAGTTCAAACATAGGGGAAAGCACTTTTGTAAGTCTTGAGGGGCAGCTAAAACGAAGTGAAACAAGCATATGTTACACTTGATGTGAATCGTTTATTATCTATACATGGCCGATTTCTTAAAGAGAGAATACCTGAGGGAGAGGCTAAGACTTCTTTCCTCCATTTTGAAAAAAAACATTTTATGCGAGCGAATCCTCCGTGCGTTCCTTACTAGAAGCTATATTTGTCAAGATGTCTACTTAAGGTGGCATCTGAAAAGTTACTGTACAAAGCAAAGTAACCGACGATTTGGGAATAAAGGCCAGAAACTACAGTGCATGATTTACAAATCAAAAAATAAATCAATTATATAACCAAAGCGCTAAAGCAAACACCGACTTATCGCCGTATATGTACTGTGTACACCCTTTTTGCATAGTTAATCAACCAGGAAACACTATACTTGGCATATTAAAGGTCAATACCTGCGCTCTGTAAAACTTCTCTCCCTGACGGACTTCGTGTCAAATCCATTTGCTCCCCACCAAGTGTCGTCTTTTTCCTTTGGTTCCTCCATAAGTAACACAGAACCGCTGAAAGGCTGGGATACTTGGGTCAGAAAGTGAACCAACGGTACGGCGAAGAGCCATTCATGATGGTCACGGTGATTCTTGGCGACATGTTTGCAAATGGCCTGAATGGCTTCACCAAGGCTTCTGGATATTTTAAAGAACATAACTGTATTTTGTGTGATCTACTCCATGTTTGCAAAACTGCCTTAACAAGTCTACTATTCTAATGGTTTCTTGGCATCGGCAAACATGATTGATCTTATCACACCTGCCATAAAAACGATCTGTTAACCTCTATCTTCATATGTGTTTATTGCGTTAAGTTAAAATTTGAAAAACTGTAAAAAAAAAAAAGTCAATCGAATCTTTCTTGTTCTCAAATAAAATTGTTAACCGTGAAAGAAAACGAACTTACTGCAACTGATCCATGGGAAATTCTTTAAGAATCCTTTCCAATCCTGTACACCTTTTTCCTCCAGGGTCTGGGTGCAGAATCAAAGAAGCGAACAGCTTTCCGTATTGTTGAGGATCAAGATACACTTTATGTGTATAAATGATATAAGCAATAGCAACGGATGACACCAACGGATGAAACGTTTTCTTGTCGTCTGAATCTGATTGAGGAACATCATTTGTCTCGATCCTCGTTTTGAAAAATTCTTTCAGAATCTGTAATTATAAACAAATAGAAACTAACGTTAGTTTGTTAGATTGGACCTGAATTCGAAGTTTCCTCGATGGAGTTTATGACTAAAGGTTGCATTTCTTATTCCAAAACGTAATTTTGAATCATCGCAAAGTACAACAACAAATCAGAGGTGTGCATCCTTATATGTAGTTTCTTTGAGTGAATAAACGGCAATGTTGTTTCCACTCTCAATTTGTTTATTGGAAGCACTATCAATCTGACAGTTTCCACTATAATTTTTTCTATCAGATTCCACAGACTAACAAGTCGCAAAAGTGGTTTATAAATTGCTCGTGCTGTACAAAGTAGGCTTCCAACCCCCACGAGTTATGTGCAGCATAACGAATCCTTACATTACCTTCTCTTGTGAGCTACAGACACACGACAGTTGTTTCGAATGATTCATCAATAAAATCTCCTCTTCATCTCACATGGAATACTGCTCTAACATCTGTAACCAATTTATAATGGCATCCCACCTTCACGAGTATCGATTTTGTGGGTTATGTGAAAATTTCAAACTTGGACTAAACCTCGACCTGGTCTGGGAAAACATTAACCCAAAAGTAACGATACCTTTTTCTAAGTGACAAGCGATAAATCTTACTAAGCGTTTCCCAAGGGTGTTAAAAATTTTGAGGAAATGCCAAATGTTACTGTGTAGAAGCTTTTAAAATTCCAAATGGCATCCTTTCCTTAAAAACAATAGTACATCGCTTAAGTATTGGCAAAGTGTTGCATTCTCTGAGTAGCAGACAGAGGGTATTCAGTGTGTGAGATGAAACATTCTTCTCAGAATTTAGTTAATTGAACATTACCTGTTGAAAATCATAACGATGTGGAACATTTTTTGTGGTGCGGCTCTTTTCCATAGCCTCGGTTTGAGTGTAGCAGTAAGCTATATCATTGACTGTCTGAATAGCTTGCCAAGCAGTAATATTCTCCTCCACGTCATCCACCGTAAAACCCTCCCACTTAGGCAACATGACTCGAGTTGCTATGTTCCTTCCCTCAGTGGGATCCATGCCCTTTAAAATTGGCAGCTTGCTACGAATACTTTGCCACCAACTTCGTGAACTGAAAATAGTGTCATCACATTGGTGCCAGAACGCTAAACAAGAGTAGATGCAAAGCAGTAATTAGGAGCTTTACCTTAATTTAATTGGCAGTGCTTCTACATAATCATAAGCTGACCAGTGGAAAATTAGCCTGTTTTATTAGCTCATATTCTGGGAGCGCAAGTTGATGTTACTGCCTTCTTATAAATTTTCCTGCCTTGCGCGATGTTTGATTCAGGCGAAAGTGGGCATAAAACGGGTACGGAAAAGGCCATCCCTCCTCCTTCCTTTCGGCTATCGATCACCCCCTCAGTGGAAATTAATTCTTTTCTAACCCTTCTTCTGAGTTGAGAATCTAAGATGACGGTCACGCATTTCGCGAAGTAATGAGCGGTAGCTCGCTTAAAATACGCCCCAAATGAGAGTTATGGAAAAAGCCATGAAAGTACCTCCCTGACGACATCTGTCCTGCGGAATATGAAGACATCGGTTCGTCATAGTTCCCAAGTTAGGTAACTGTTCCCACAAAGGCTTCTCTTTCTCCTTTAAATCTTTTCGTTTTTCTTTGAATACAACATACTTGTAGGGAATTTTACGAGCTAGAAAAATGTGTGGTACCGAGAGCTCGGCTTTCACCAGGATAAAACCATCATCAAGATATCTGTAAATCCAAGTTAAACTGTCAGTACGTGCAACTGGAACCATAAATGCTACAGTACAACATTTCTAGTCTGTGTCGTTATTTACAAGAAACAAATTTGTAGTTTGTTTGAACATTTCATAGAGTCACTCAGGAAAACCTGAAGGCCCCCTTGTAGTGAAAGAAACCAGAGTAAGCTGTCTCTTCACAGCCACTTAGAATTAAATTATGTCGAAATAAAACTGTATCGAAATGACTTGGCCCGTTAACTGAGAAATGAGGCAGCTGCAAGGCTCATCTCAACTTTGCATGAACTGAAAATGGTCACAAATGACATATTACTTCAAACACCAGCATCAAACTTTTAATACCAAGTTCGACCGATTTATTTTTTTATTTATTTCATTGCATTTGATCACAGTTCAAGAAAAAAGAAAGGTGATCATCCAAAACACAGCATTCTTTCTCCTTCATGTATCGAAGGTTGATCTGGAAAGAATCACTGCAGTATAATAGTACACTTGGCAAAGGTTATACTGCGTATAATTATAACATTTTTCAACTCAGATATAAATAAAATCTACAAAATTTATAATCATTGTTCCAACAACTTTCCCTGAAACGAAAAGTAGTGCAGACAAAATTGACCTTGCACATATGATGAAGCCGCGATCATCATATTACTTTCACCATCTTGAAAAAATTTACATAAACTTACCTTTGTGGAAACACTTCAACAACATCTTCTTTAAAGTCTCCAAGAGCAGGTTCACCAAACCTCATATAGAGTCTGTCACCTTGACTCTCCTCAAATTTAAAATGAGGTGCAAGTACAGCATGAAAAACAACAGTCATTCTCTTTCCCTTGTAACCGGGAAAATATTCCTTTTCTTTGTCTTCTTTTTTACTATTCCCCATGACATCCCCAACAGAACTTGTGTCATGGCCACTGTTTTTCTTTATATCAGATTTGATATTTTCGTCAAGTTGGTTTTCTTTGGTGTTTGCATTCTTTTGGTCTTCTGGCTTTAAGTCATTCATTGCACCTTCATGTTTCCTATGAATATAATTAAATTATGTTTTTGTTATTTATATAAATCACTGCTGTTTTTGACTACATAAAAATGATATGTAGTAAATTGAGAGAGGCTGAGAGAGTTTTCTCTAGCAGGTTAACCACGAACACATTTCCTTGGACTCCATTGCTTTCTGGTTGCATGCTAGGATGGGAAGGAATGAACCAAGTAACTTACCTGAAACTTGAAGCAGAAATTGTAAAGAAGAAAGCTACTGTAGTAAAAAATTATTTGGCCAAACAAAAATTTGCCTCAGTCCTAGATGAGGCCTTTTTGATCAGTTGGTAGTGGCACCCCATCTTTGAGGCACAAGTTCGAATCCTGTCAGAGCCTGAATTTTCTTGAAACTGTAACTGCTTACATTGGAACGCAGCTCACCACTGTGAGAATAATTTCCTCACTTGAATTTCGCCTAAATTGTAATCAAATTCCTCTAAAGCAACGAAAACTCCCCTAAAATTTACCTCGCTCCCAACATGTGGCTTTGTAGCTCAATTAGTAGCAGCTCTCAACAAGCATCTTAGAGGCACGGGTTCGAAGTGTGTCGAACCCTGAATATTCTGCAATTTCTTAAATTGAAGCTCACCCGCCAAGATCATTTCTTCGCTTGATGTTCATCCGCAGGTAACCATATGATTTATTTTATTGAAATTGTGAAGTACCAAAGGAACGATAGGTTAGTTTGCGAAAAATAACAAATACGAACCAAAACTCAGGGTTTCTTGAAATATTTGGTCTTTTGCTTCAATCAATGCTCATTTAATTTGTGATCTTGTTACGTCCTAAATCTACGATTCTAGCTCTGGCAAGTCTCTCTTCCACTTCCCACCACTCCCGCTAAGGCAAAACCTTTTATTAAATGAAAATGCGGAAAACAAGATGTAAAAGTCTTGGAGCTTTCTGACACTTTTTCCTAAACAAAACCAATCTAGTATGGTCAAAAATATGAGTTCTGAAACTTCACTCAACACCATCCCAGCTGATAAAAGTAGTTTAATTCGACTGCTGGAACACTGTATCATCTGCATATTCCCATGTTAGCCGTTTGGTGCCGTCATTAACATTTTGTATAATCATAGTACTGAAACGTGACCTACTGAGTAGGGAAAACTTGAATCAAACAGTCTGGTTGGTTTTGATTGGACAAAACCAAGATATGAAAGTATGGAAAGCTTACTTCAAGTAGTGTATCATCTAAATAATAATAAAAAAACGAATTCCTTACTCTGATGCCTGGTGTTTTTGCTTTGGTTCCTTATGACTTTCTCCCTCCTTCTTTGCGTCCTTTTCTTTCTGTGAAGTACTTCCGTTATCAGTTTTTGATGTTTTGTGTGTTCCCGCAGCTTTTTTTTCTGAATCGGCGTCGTTTTCACTGTTTCCATGGCCCTTGTCAACCTCAGGTTGGCCATCATCCTCTTGATGGGGCTGAGGCACATCAGACACATTGATGCTGGCAGCTGTCGCATTACCATTTGCGAGCCCAACCGATTTTTCCTCAGTTTCACCATTATGATCAGGAGATGCTGGAGCTCTTGGAAGAGACACTGATTCAATGGTGGTTTTGTCTTGACCAACAGTTGCATCACCAGCTGTCATGTGGAAAATAAAACGTGCTGACAGTCAGTGTATTTTCAATGATTAAAATCAGTAAAGTAATGAATTTGTGAGATAACGGCAGCATTTCTGCCAAAACTATCTTAGTCGGTTATTTTGTATCCCCTCCTTTTTTAATTATTTTTCTTTCCTCGTTGTTCATTTATTACAGCTTTAATTACAGCACTATTATAAACTACTTAATGACCGTGAGTGAGGTCGATAAGGGAAAATCTCCAACTGGGGCCTCGATATATTGACCGAGCGATGGCCGGGCCGAGGTTTGAGATTTTCTCGCTTACGAACGAACGTTCGAGGTTATTAAGTTGTTTATTACATGGCGTCAAACTGAAAAAACGAAGATTTATTCAAGCAGAAGTCGTCAATTTACCTCCAGCGATGTGCGCGTTTACCTATTCATTAATTCATCGACTCAAACCCACAGTACAACTACACTATTAGTGAACTAGACCGTTGTATCACTTATTCCGTCAAGAAACACATTTATTTTCGGGAGAAATGATTCGCAGAGCCTTAAAAAAGTATTTCAGTACAGTGGTATCACAACGTGATGAGAGAAGTTTGTCTGATCCTCAAAGCGAAACGTTAACTGGAGTGCGTACAGAGGAGACTGAAAAGTGCCTCAAAATAGTTCCAACATGTGCGGCTCTTGGTGAAAGAAAATCCAAATACTTCGTGGCAAGACGCAGGAAACCCGAGTAACTCCTTTTGAAGTTTATTTGTACAAATTTCATGACTGTCCTGTCTTCTTCCAACTTGACATGAGACAAGGGTACCACCAACTCCTAATTAGCCCAGAATCCGGAAAAGTGGCTACTCGGAAACTCTCTGATGAGGCCATACACTGAATACTTGGGAAAATACCAAAAAATCTCAACCAACATGATGACATCCTGCTGGGGGGACAAGACCTTCAAAAACAAAATGGTCTTGCAGAGAGCTGCAGATTTTGGTATTACATTAACTACAGAGAAATGCCAGTTTTGAATTGGAGAAATAGATTTCTATGAGCATCGTTTCGTGAAGAATAGATTGAAACCAAGCTCAGAAAAGACTGAGGCTGTGAAAAGAAGTAGTTACCCAGGGTCAAAAGACGCTGCGAAGAGTTTCCTAGGTATGACAGAATACTTTCCCGAGTTCATTCCAAGATATGCATCACTTACCGCAATCTCTTAAGAGCTGACTATAAAGAGAAGAGAACAAAGTTCAAATGGGGTGAAGAGAATGAAGCATTTGAAAAGCGCACATCAAGCGTAACTAGGAAAAGCCCCATGGCTTACTTTGATCCTGCTAAACCAACCGCAAATACTAGGAGACAAACAGTGGCCTGTGACCAAGCCATAGCCGTACTATGACCGCAACTTAGAAGCGGTGTGGTCAAACAGAAAAAGATGCTTTAGTTGTACAATGGGCAAAGGACAGGTCCAACATCTACCTCCTTGGAGCATCAAAGGTCAAGATCAGTATAGCCCACAAACCGTTACGTCCACTGTTCAACAAGCCAACCGCGCAACTCTCACCAAGAATCGAAATATGGGTCTTGGGAATGCAGGATGTTGATTTTGAGCTAGTTTATAAGCCTGGAATAGCAGACCCCAGACTTCATACAAGACACCCATTGCCAAAGAAAAGCAATGGTGTCGTAGAGAAAGTCATCAAGTACGATGTGAAGGCTAATCATGCACATCACAGAGGAAATCCACAAATATCTCAAAAACTTCAGAAACTGTCCATCAGAATTCGATTTGGAATGGCAAAGAAAGATCCAGGTATAGCACCCTTGTATTGAGTGAGGCATGAATTATACTTTGTGGATGACCTCCCATTCCACACAAATCAGATCATCATTCCCACAAATCGGGCACCTTTCCTTATTGTTCTCCAAACATAAAATTACATCACGAAAGAAAGTCAAATTGTAATCATATTTGCAGTGAACCACGAACTGAATGGGTTTCATTAACTGGTGCTGCTGCATGCTCTCTTCCTAGGGGAATACTGCTTTCCACACTAATTTGCCAGCAAGTAGCTAAGAAATAAGATTCTATCCTTTCTAAATGTTATAACTCTGACTCTTCAATAAATTAGTGCATATTTTTTGCGCAAAAAATTTTAAAACTAGACAGATTTTACCACTGATTGATTCTGCATGAGACAGTTCTCAAACATTTTCATCTTTATCATACTTGCCATGACAAAATATAGTCTTATTATCTTCATGGAAAAGTCTGAAAATGGACTGTGGTTGGTAATTAATTAAGCTACTGATGTTTTGACAACCTGTGTAGATGTTATCATTAAGAGTCAAGTCAATGACTTAACTAAAGGACTGACCCCGTAAAGCTTTTTACTGCATTATATATGCAACAGACTCCTCTCAAAAGATGTGAACAATCACCATCAACATGTAAAAAACTTATTCAAGACATTACATCATCAACTACGATCACCTTAAGTCTTTAAAGTACAATGCTAATTGAGTCTCACACCCAATAAAATCACAGCATATCTGACCATGCAATCAAATTTCTTGGACCAGAATTAAAACACATGTCTGACACACTAATTCTTATTGACTCTAACAATGGTGATCACTGCTTCAAAGTTTTCAAAACAGCATTCACTATTAATGATAACAGTCCTTTACAGGACTGCTTCTAATCAGACAGAATTATATATAGAATAATCGATTAGATGTTACTTAAATATAGAGGCCTCAACTGTGCTCGGATCTGTCGTAAAGCATGCAGGAAGCAGCTAGAGCACGAAAGATTAGTGTGAGGAGAAACACGAGACATATGCAAATGTTTCTCCCCACTTCTTGTATACTTCCTGCTTCCTAAGTGCTTTACAACAGATCAGAGCACGGTCAAGGCTTCTCTACTTGTTTTATAACAAAAAATCCTTCAAATTCCCCATGCATTATTTTCAATTTTCTTAACATACTTTATTTCCAAAGTGAACAACAGTATTGTCAAAAATGTCAAACCATCGAAGTTCACAATCTGCAACAGCTTACAGACTGAAATAGTTTGACAGGTTGAATTTGAAAACACTTTTGCCTGAATTTTTTGAGTCTCTAAAACAGAATCTGAAAGTGAAATGTTCAGTGAAATCTGGCCAAATTGAAGCTTACAACAACATGCAAGTTTTCCACATGACAATTAGAAAACAAACTACTCAAGGGGCGTGTTTAATGAATGAATGACGGTCGAATTCTCAGGAATATAAAGATTGCTTGGGAAGATACTGCCATAAAGCTTGGCCGCTGTGACTGATGTGGCCCTCCACTCAATGCATTGAAAAGGATGTAGGTCAAGGCAAGAGGCTATCAGAGGATTCCCTCACAGA